TCCCATCTTGGATTACAGTGACATCATTTATGGGACTGCTTCTAAAACACTTCTTCACAAACTCAATGTCATTTATCACTCAGCAATCTGTTTCGTCACTGGTGCCCCTTTCACTACTCACCATTATGATCTGTACTCACTCGTTAACTGGCCATCACTCCATTCCCACAGGATTTACATTTACATCATATTTTCCAACAACAAGCACAGTTTACCTTCTAGTAACTTAATCTCTATCATTATTCCCAAAGCTTGCACCTCATTTGGCCGCTCCTCATTCCAGTTTGCTGCTTCCATCAAGCGGAATGAGCTTCAAAAATCACTAAAGCTCATTACCTTTTCTTCTCTTGTTCGCTCTTCCTTCTTCCATCTCAGGAACATTGCTAAGCTGAGTCCCATTCTGTTCCGCTCTGAACTTGAGACAGTTATCCAGACCTTCATCTCCTCATGCTTAGACTACTGCAACTCTCTTTTCACGTGTCTGAACAGAACCTCCCTGAACCGTCTACAGGTGGTTCAGAATGCCTGTGCTCGGCTTCTGACCAAGTCCTCCAAACACACCCACATCACCCCGCTTCTCCTCCAGCTTCATTGGCTGCCAGTCAACTTCAGGGTTCATTTCAAGATCCTGGTTCTGGTCTATAGGGCCTTACATGGACAAGCACCATCTTACATTGGTGATCTTCTTAGTCCCTACACCCCAGCAGGTCCCTGAGGTCCAGTGATCAAAGCCTACTGGTTGTGCAGCACCAGGCTAAAGACCAAAGTTGACAGATCATTTGCTGCTGTGGCCCCCAGACTCTGGAACTCTCTCCCCCTGAGCCTGAGATCAGTGGACTCAGTGGTCTCCTTTAAAAAGCAGCTGAAGACTCACTTGTTCAAGCTGGCTTTTGTATGACCTTCTTCACCACTCTCCCTTTATTCTGCTCTCCCCACCTATTCCACCTTCCTCAGGATCCACTGATTTCCCTCTTTCCTATTCACTCTCTCTCTTTCTTTACATTGTTTAATCACAATTGTCTATTTTTTGCTCATTTTAAATATATTTTTAACAATTTTCTAAATTATTGATATTTTTACATTTTGTTTTTGTGAAGCGCCTCGTGATTTTTATCTTGAGAGGCGCTATAGCAGGCGTGGGGGAACCCTGGTCCTCGAGGGCCGGTATCCAGCACGTCTTTGCTCCAACACTTCTGATTCAGTGGTTGATTCACCTGTGCAGCTGCTCGTCAGGCTGTGCAGAAGCCTGTTAATCGCCTGCTGATTGAAATCAGGTGTGTTGAAGCAGGGTTGAAACTAAGATATGCTGGATAGCGGCCCTCGATGGACCAGGGTTCCCCACTCCTGCGCTATAGAAAATATATTTTCTTCTTTTACCTACATTCCACCATCTACCTTCAATAATACATTGCAATCAATAGTTTCTGATCAGTGTGCCTGCTTCTGAGTGCTTAAAATGGTTTTAAGTGCGTTTTGATTGCCTTCACATATTATATATGAGAACAATCCTTTGTCTTTATATCTAACTGTTTTTATCTTATTTTGATCTTGTTTTTATATTATCTTTTTTTTTCTTTGGTATAAAGCTAATTATGTCTCTGTTACTTCTGCCTCTTGGCCAGATTGTCATTGTAAATGAGAATGGGTTCTCAATTGACTCATTCAATTCAACTCAAAAATACTTTATTAATCCCAGAGAGAAATTCAATTGTTTCAATATACACAATTCTGAGATCAGACATGCATACATAGACACATGACAAGAATTGGTGACTGTGGTCATTCGCAGCACGAGTCGCACTACCGTTATAGATCAAGAGGGCTTATATGAGGATAGTCAGGGGGAGGGAAAAAAAAGGCACTTCAGAGTTACCCTCCACAGAGAGGGCAGCTTTGTCAGCCGCCGGCTTCATTTATGTTGATTTTAATTCCCTGTTTTCATTGGTCTCTTTATGTCTTGTTTTACCCATTTGTTTTCTACTTTAATGTTTTTACCTTTTTTTATCCTCATGTACCGTGTTCAGCGCCTTGGGCAACCAACCCCCACCCCACTTCACACTGGTTTACACACTTATCTGTTAGCGCAGTCAACCGCTCAGCAGACTATTAACATTTTACTGTCAAATTACCTAAATAAACATGATGAAATGCTAAAGACTGGCTTCTTCAAAAGTTTCTTATAAGTTCCAAAGTGTGTAAACGGTCTTTCTGCCACCTAGCATGACAGAACTAAATCCTGGCTATTCCAGCTGCAGAAAATGGATCTTCTGCTTCTTTCGACTATTTTAACAGCCAATCTAAAGACAACTAGGCTACATCGGAGACCTGGCAGTCCTTGTCTACGGCAGGGAAACTCTGTCTTGTGACCCCCGACCCCCCCCCCCCCCCACCACCACCACCACCACCACCACCACACTTCCCACTGGTTTACACACTTATCTGTTAGCCGCCGGCTTCATTTATGTTGATTTTAATTCCCTGTTTTCATTGGTCTCTTTATGTCTTGTTTTACCCATTTGTTTTCTACTTTAATGTTTTTACCTTTTTTTATCCTCATGTACCGTGTTCAGCGCCTTGGGTAACCAACCCCCACCCCACTTCACACTGGTTTACACACTTATCTGTTAGCGCAGTCAACCGCTCAGCAGACTATTAACATTTTACTGTCAAATTACCTAAATAAACATGATGAAATGCTAAAGACTGGCTTCTTTAAAAGTTTCTTATAAGTTCCAAAGTGTGTAAACGGTCTTTCTGCCACCTAGCATGACAGAACTAAATCCTGGCTATTCCAGCTGCAGAAAATGGATCTTCTGCTTCTTTCGACTATTTTAACAGCCAATCTAAAGACAACTAGGCTACATCGGAGACCTGGCAGTCCTCGTCTACGGCAGGGAAACTCTGTCTTGTGACCCCCGACCCCCCCCCCACCACCACCACCACCACCACCACCACCACCACACTTCCCACTGGTTTACACACTTATCTGTTAGCCGCCGGCTTCATTTATGTTGATTTTAATTCCCTGTTTTCATTGGTCTCTTTATGTCTTGTTTTACCCATTTGTTTTCTACTTTAATGTTTTTACCTTTTTTTATCCTCATGTACCGTGTTCAGCGCCTTGGGTAACCAACCCCCACCCCACTTCACACTGGTTTACACACTTATCTGTTAGCGCAGTCAACCGCTCAGCAGACTATTAACATTTTACTGTCAAATTACCTAAATAAACATGATGAAATGCTAAAGACTGGCTTCTTTAAAAGTTTCTTATAAGTTCCAAAGTGTGTAAACGGTCTTTCTGCCACCTAGCATGACAGAACTAAATCCTGGCTATTCCAGCTGCAGAAAATGGATCTTCTGCTTCTTTCGACTATTTTAACAGCCAATCTAAAGACAACTAGGCTACATCGGAGACCTGGCAGTCCTCGTCTACGGTAGGGAAACGCTGTCTTGTGACCCCCGACCCTCCCACCCCCACCCCCACCACCACCACACTTCCCACTGGTTTACACACTTATCTGTTAGCCGCCGGCTTAATTTATGTTGATTTTAATTCCCTGCTTTCATTGGTCTCTTTATGTCTTGTTTTACCCATTTGTTTTCTACTTTAATGTTTTTACCTTTTTTTATCCTCATGTACCGTGTTCAGCGCCTTGGGCAACCACCCCCCACCCCCCACCCCACTTCACACTGGTTTACACACTTATCTGTTAGCGCAGTCAACCGCTCAGCAGACTATTAACATTTTACTGTCAAATTACCTAAATAAACATGATGAAATGCTAAAGACTGGCTTCTTCAAAAGTTTCTTATAAGTTCCAAAGTGTGTAAACGGTCTTTCTGCCACCTAGCATGACAGAACTAAATCCTGGCTATTCCAGCTGCAGAAAATGGATCTTCTGCTTCTTTCGACTATTTTAACAGCCAATCTAAAGACAACTAGGCTACATCGGAGACCTGGCAGTCCTCGTCTACGGCAGGGAAACGCTGTCTTGTGACCCCCGACCCTCCCACCCCCACCCCCACCCCCACCACACTTCCCACTGGTTTACACACTTATCTGTTAGCCGCCGGCTTCATTTATGTTGATTTTAATTCCCTGCTTTCATTGGTCTCTTTATGTCTTGTTTTACCAATTTGTTTTCTACTTTAATGTTTTTACCTTTTTTTTCTCATGTACCGTGTTCAGTAAAAATGAACCACGCATGCGGAACACCCCCCCGCTGGCAGATCAAAGGCAGTAGGCATAATTTCAGCTAGCCAATCAGTTGGTAGTGTCGCCTCGGTCCCAGTCTGACCGCTGGGGAGGAGGTCTGAAAAAAGAGTTGCCTCGGCACCGAAAACGTGAATCTGACCTGTGTGCGAAGCCAAATTCTGGTGCCGTTCGGTAACTTTTGGGGCCGTGCCGACGCTACTGTGTAAGCGCCATAACAAAGTTTCATCCATCCATCCATTTTTGGCCACTTATCCAGGGTCAGGTCGCGGAGACAGTCGCCTAAACAGGGAGGCCAAGACTTTCCTCTCACCAGCCACTTGGGCCAGCTCTTTCGGGGGAATTCCCAAAGCGTTCCCTTCCCAGCCGAAGAGTCTCTCCTTCGGCTACATCACACATTGCACCCAACATCTTTGGCTCCTTTCACAAGTGGTGAGTCCAAGAAATGTATTGAACAGAAAGACAAGCTGAATTTACGCCCTTCTCTGTTATTGCAGCCAAACGTGTGAACTTACCTAAACAAATACGATGAAATGCTAAAAACTGGTTTCTTCATTAGCTTCCCTCCCACCCCCTCGCAATTTACTATAGTAGACAGCAAAGCATGCCCACGATGAAAAACAAGATTATAAACTTCTTTCGACTGTTTTAACAGCCCATCTAAAGTGCTGTAAATTAGCTATGGCTAAAAGCATCTTGCTACAAACATGTGAACGTGGTTTTACAATGTCCATG